GTGAGTGTGTGAGTTGAAGTCCACTCATCTTAAAGTGGCCAAGTTTGGACAACACTGGGGGTCAGAGTCTGAGGTTCTCCCCCAAAGCAGCACTGCCTTTCTTATCTGACAAGTCCAACATGGTTGGGAAACGTTGAGGAAGAATCGGTTTAGGAGCAAAGGGGCGCAGGGCTTGCTTCCTCAGGATGCCTCAAGCAAAGAGAAATTTGCTCTGAAGTAATTCTCAACCTATCGACTGCCCTGATTTGATTCAGAAACTCCTCTGAGTCTAACGGGGATGCGTTGTTGTAGTTGTTACTGTTGTTGTTACTATTATTATTATTATTATTATTAATATGCCCTTGATGAATGCAGGGCACCTCGCGATCCCAGTGTGTGTTTATGAGAAATGCCCATCCTTCAACTTTCTCCCCTCTGGAACCTCATCGTGTACAGTAGTACAAAAAGTGCAAAAGCTTCTTCCCTCTCAAACTGGTATAATTTTTTTCGCTTGCTTGTACAGTCGGCCGAACAGTTGTTTCTCTGTACATAGATTTAACTTATTTCCACGCCCCCGTTTGGCTCCCTGACTCCCTTCCCCGTGTATCAGGTGTCTGCGTGTGAAAAAAGATGGCGTCTGTGATCATGCAAACCGACCCACACACATAAAAAAAGGGGTGGGTCTTTGATCATGTTGTTGTGGCGCCATCTTGACTTTTTTGACACCCCCTCTGCAGAGACTCCTGCTGCATATTCTTAGTTGGAAATACTGCTTTAAAGTGTTTGGAGGAAGAGGTAGCACCGCCTTCCCCAACCTGGTGCCCTCCAGGTGTATCAGGACTGTAAATCCCAGAACGGGATGTCAGCAACGTAGCTGGAGGGCACCAGGTGGGCGGAGGGTGGGCGAAGCCACACCGGAGCCCTTAGTTTGGCTAAAAGGAGCTTGCTTTGCATTCAGTAACCTTTTGATCTTTGAAACACTTCTCTCTTAAATATATTCTGGCATACTTCGTATGGGAAGAATACTGGGCTGGTTATATATATTTTATGTATCTTTGAGGTTCATTCACTTTTCATCAAAGTTTCTGCATCTGATTATTTGTGTGAAAAAAATAAGCTATCTTCATGGCACTTCATTGTTCTGCCTGGCTTCTTTTAATTCCCTTAAAATGTCCTTTCTCCCCCTCTTCCCACACTCTTTTTTTTTATTGTATTTTATTTTGGGGGGAGAGTTACAAAAACATAAGACCTCGGTTGAACTGAGGTGAGACTTGTTGAAGACCTGTTCCTGTCTAACTATATCTGTATCTTTAATAACCCCTTCTGTCTGTCCCAGAAATCCGGAGGAGAAGTTGTTTATTTAGTTTATTAATTTAAATTTTAAAAAAAAGATACAATAAAATCAAAGCTGTGAAAAGGAACTGGCATTTTTATTTTTATTTTTGTTTGAAAGTGATTTTTCTTTCTTTCTAAGACTTCCCACCAACAACCAATGCTTGTGTGCTCATTGCAAGAAAAAGATTGGGAGATTCAGGCCTGAGTATCTTCATGCTTATTACAGATACACCTTTACAGAAATGTTTCAGGACTCTCACCTGATTAAAGAAATCTCATTTACAAGATTGTGTGAGGTCCATTGTAGTTGATGCACTCTGCATATATTTGCATAATTTTGCATATGTTTGCACACAATAAGTGGAATGGAAGAACAAAGCATGCTTCCTTTGTCTTTACAGCAGTGTTTCTCAACCTTGGCAACTTTAAGATGTGTGGACTTCAACTCCCAGAATCCCCTAGGCCGCAAGGCTGGCTAAGGGATTCTGGGAGTTGAAGT